ATAAAATAGAGCAACAAATCCCTTTTACAGTTGCCACAAGTCTTAGAAAATGCCTAGGAATGCACCTGTCAAGAGGGAATGTTTGAATAACTGGAAAAACATGCTCGGTCTCTGTAGAAACAACACAGTGGCTACAGGTGATGCTGATTTCAATTTGTGGATAAATATGCTTCATTTACTTTGGCAAAGGCTTGTGCTTTTTGTTCTTCATGGGAAGCAGATAAAGCAAGCCAACAAATAAAATAGAGCAACAAATCCCTTTTACAGTTGCCACAAGTCTTAGAAAATGCCTAGGAATACACCTGTCAAGAGGGAATGTTTGAATAACTGGAAAAACATGCTCCGTCTCTGTAGAAACAACACAGTGGCTACAGGTGATGCTGATTTCAATTTGTGGATAAATATGCTTCATTTACTTTGGCAAAGACTTGTGCTTTTTGTTCTTCATGGGAAGCAGATAAAGCAAGCCAACATTTTTTTCCCATTTTACCAGTGAGGAAACAGATGCTTCAAGTGGTTTTTGTGACACACAGCGTTAGTCTGTCATTCACCAGACAAAAGCCTAGATGCCACTAACACTTGGCTTAATGGCTTTTTCATTCTAGCCCATTTTCTATTTTCTTCAGGCCAGAGTATGTGTATTTCTTTAAAAATTAAACCGTGAATATTTTAATTTGTAATCATACTCTTTCCCACAGGTCATCATTTTGGAGAAAAATAGGGGAAAATGTATTTCCGCTACTTGAATGGCTGTTCATTGTCATTTCCCAATGAATGATCAGCATAAAACTAGAATTGAGTCTGTAGTTATGCTGCTCTTGGGATAATGTCATTAGGTCCCAGTACTTTCAAGTCCCTCCCAAGGCTGAAGGGAGAATCCATTCCTTGCCTCTCCAGCCTCTGGGGGCTGCTGACATCCCCTGACTTATTGTGGCAGCATCACCCCAGTCTTTGCCTCCGTGGTCACAGTGCCTCTTTCTCTTCTGTATGTATCAGATCTAAAGATCCATGTGATTGCATTTAGGGCCCACCCAGATAATCCAAGATCATCTCCCTTAATTTAATCACATCTGCCTACTCTCCCTGAAGAAAGCATACTTTGCAGGCAATCAGAGTTTTGAATACAAGTCATTTGCTAGCTTGTTGACCTTGACCAAGTTCCTTAACCTCTTTGTTTCACTTTCTTCATCTGAACACGGAGTTAATTCATGCTTATCTCAGAGAGGCTTCAAAAGAGTTAAGAGAATTGAAGTTAATTTAAATATACTCCTTGGTTTCTTTTTCCTTTATTTGCATTCAAAGCCTTGTCTGACTCATGTTTGTATTTCCAGAGCCTTGCACTATCCCTGGCACGTAGTGGCTGCCCCATAAATGTTTACTGAGTAATTTTCTGTCCTCTGAAGGGCAATGTGGCATTGCACTGTCATGCACTGAACCCGCAGCTGGAATAGCTTGGTGTTGGCTCATCCAGAAATATCTTGTGTGTGAGAGCTGAATGTCATTAACTTAGCAAATAGAACAGGGAGATACGTGTGAGGCAGAACCCTAGCATGGTGGTTTCTGTGTAAATATGCCAAGTCCAGTGCCTGTGCGATGCAGGAAAAGAACTGTTGTTCCAGAAAGGGAAAAGGTGGGTGGACTGAGTGTCCGGATGTCTACACACACACACACACACACACACACACACACACACACACACACACACACACTCTCTCTCTCTCTCTCTCTCTCTCACTCTCTCCATAAAAGATCGATTGATTTTTTACCTAGTTGGTATTTTGTATTTTGGCTGGGTACTTACAATCAGTGTAAATGTCTGACTTCAGAGTTACAGACCTGATTCACATTCCTATGAAGTTCCCTCCAACTAGATGATGAGCTGCTTGAGAGCTGGAGTTAGTGTTGCAGTGAAGTGTATCTTCTGTGGCTACCTGGTCAGAATTTATGGATGTCGATAATGCATTGAATGCTGTAGCTTGACCCTTACTGACAGCAGAGTAGAGTGTTTCTTTGGGGCATGAACAAATATTAATCCTGCCATGGCTTTGGTCAATGAGTCATTTGACTTACGGAGTTCCTGAGTCACAGGCTGTCCTGAAGATCACCTGCCGACTCCTCAGTGCCTTTGTGTCCCAGGGACGTCCTGCAGTGACCGTGTGTGTGCGTGTACAGGAGCCCAGGAATGTGGGGAGGGCCTGGTCCTCAGAGACCTTACCTGTCCCCTGCCTGGTGACTGTGGAGAGAAGAGGCAGTTTGCAGCACTTGGAAGGGACTGATTGCAGAGCTGCAGAAGGAGGGGTCCAGGGAAGCCCAGGACGAAGGACGAGGGAAAGCCCACAGCCCACATGGGCTTGATGGGGAAGGCTTCACGCGTTCACTCACTGCAGATTGAGAGTCTTTCTGGGCCAGGGTTGGGTACACACAGGAGGATGAAATATAGCCTCTGCCCTTTTCTAACGTGTCTGCTAACAAGGAGCTGCATTAGCAGACAATTATACTACAGCACGTTCTGCTGTACAGCTATGTGCGAGTGCCGTAGGAGAAGGTGGGTGTAAGCTGAGCCCTTACTGCCTGTATTAGTCCGTTTCTGTAGCTTATAACAGAAATACCTGAAACTGAGTAACTTATAAAGAAACAATATTTATTGCTTACAGTTTCAGAGGCTGGGAAGTCCACAGTCCAGGAAACGTATCTGCTGAGGTGACTGCAGCAATGCAGGGTGTCACATGGTGAGAATGGCAGAGCAGAGAGAGACTCACTCACTCCTCAGAAGGTCATGGCCCTCAGAACCATGCCATGACCACCATTATTAATCCATTTGTAGGGCATGGTCCTCACAATGTAACCACTTCTTCAAAGACCCACTTTTCAATACCATAATAGGATTTCCCACCCTCAACAGTCACAGTGGGGATAAAGCTTCTTAATAATGGCCTTCAGGGGACACAGTTCAATCCACTGCACTGCCTAAGCAGAAGGAAAAATTCTCTAGGCTTAGGTTAATCTCACAACTGTATGGGGTACATTGGAGTGCTTTCTTAGCAACTCTTAAATCAACTCTTTTCTATACTGCTTAATCTGTTTAAAAGAATTACTAAGGAAAGAGACACTTGAATTATGATGACTGTAATGTTAATGACAGATCTTAGGCTAACTCTATTTTCATTTTTTCCACAGTGTCAAATCAACAGTGCCTTGACTTCTTTCCATACTGCTTTGGAACTTGCAATAGATCAGAGAGAAATTCAGCATGTCTGCCTGTATGAAATTGGTAAATATGAAATGTCTATCCAGCTTCTTCTTATGAAGTAGTATTAATGCCTTTCTTTGCAATTTTTGATTAATGCCATTTGGTTTGTGTCTTTGCAAAATGCTTGCTGCCTTACGTGGGAGTAAGGACTTCAGTTGTTATCATAGCACATGTGGTGATACTTATCTCTGGTTCTCATTACTTTATAACATTTTGACTTTAGGATAATAGGTGATGTTAAATGAATTGACTAAATCACCATTTGCATGTACCCTATTGGACTGCACATTAGAATTAAAAGCTCTTTGTTCTTTCTCACCAATGTTTACTTGAGAAGGAAAACATGGCATAGGAGAGTCGGGCACATGCACTCCAATCCCAGATCCTCCACCATCTAGCCTGAGACGTTGGGCAGGTTGCCAAGCCTTCTAGGCCACCTGGCTGCCATTGGAGTTACAGGGCCTCTGTTCATAGCAGCTGTGAGGTTTAGATGAAATAACATGGATGAAGCCTCAGGCAGGGTGCCTGGCACACAGAAGGCTGTCCCACCTGGCTGCCATTGGAGTTACAGGGCCTCTGTTCATAGCAGCTGTGAGGTTTAGATGAAACAACATGGATGAAGCCTCAGGCAGGGTGCCTGGCACACAGAAGGCTGTCCACCCACCGTAGCTGCTTCCTTCTCCTCCCTTACTAGAGATACATTTATAAGCAGACTTGGAAGTATTTATTTGCCTAAGATCACCACCCCACCCCCTGCAAAAAAGTTGTTGCTATGTGTCTTTTGCTGACTGCACTAAAACTCTGATCCTGTTAATTAGTAATTTCAAAAATCCTTTTATGTAACAGTGTTTCCATTATGTTGAGAAGAGTAAACAGAACTTTGGGCTTAAACAAAAAAAAAATTTTTTTTTCTTTTGATAAGGGGTTTATACTTTTTAGAGTTGCACTTAGTTAATACTACCAGGTCACATCATCTAGCAACAGAAAAGGAATGAAGAAATTAGAGAAAGGAGAGATGATGAGGTGTTGATGGAAATCAAAAGCAAAACTGGGACTCAAAGAGCTCTCTGCAGAAGGACAGGGAAGAGGAATCGAGAGTGCTCAGGAAACAGTGGACACCTGTCAGTTCAGGACCCAGGACGCCTGCCACTTGCTTCTCCTGCTGTGGACATGATTGTCTTCCTGGATCCTTTTAAAGAAAAGTGCAAACTAAAAGACTGGGAGCTACCCAATAAACACTATTCCATTTTAGGTGCCTGTTGTGGTTTAGGAAGGGGGGGTGAAGTATAATGCAGTGGGAAATGTATTTTTATGTAATCTAAACTCTGCTGTAGCTCTGCTTAGTAGCCATAATATAGAGTGAAATCTGTTTCAAAGAACTTGAATTTAAAAGCCTAGCTTTGGTGGCCTTTTTTGGTGCATTATTTCCAGGTCTATGGCAGTATAGAATGTTAGAGCTGAAGGAAGCTTAGAAATCACCTAATCCAGGCCTTAGGAAGGTTAGCTCAGGCTTCTTACTCAGGGTCAACACTGCCTTACACCTGCATTTTGTGTTTAATTTAAATCTTATCCTGCTATCTATGAAGGAAGCTTAGAAATCACCTAATCCAGGCCTTAGGAAGGTTAGCTCAGGCTTCTTACTCCGGGTCAACACTGCCTTACACCTGCATTTTGTGTTTAATTTAAATCTTATCCTGCTATCTATTATAGGATGAAAACAATTAACCCAAATTTTCGTTCTAAAATATGTCAACATTGTATCATATGCCATTGAATTTGGCACTGAATTTTCTGAAGTAAGAATTTCCTCCCCATCTCCCCTAGTTTAAATGGTAGGTTCAAGATCCCATAATTACTTAGTAGAGGCAATATTACGTAAAGGCAAGAGCATTGGACTTTGATCCACAATCCATCCCTCTTATTAGCTCTGTGGCCTTGATCAAGCCACAAAACCTTTTGATGCCTGAGATTTTCTCCTTAGTGAAATGAGGACACTATCAGCCACCTTTGCAAGGTTGTGGCAAGGATTAGAGAGGATTACATCAAGTGCCTAACACAGTGCTTGGCACACACCAGGAACTCAGTTGATGGGAGGAACTGTGATTAATCACAGGAACAGTATTTCCATCATTTTAGCTGCTGTTGTTCATTACCAGGATGCCAGTCTAACAGTGTTTTGATCCAGAAAAGATAGGAATCTTTCTCAGCTCCATTACCAGTGTGCAGAGGGAGGGTGGGCAGGTGCTTCATGTCTGACTGCTTGCTCTCTACTTCTCCCAAAGGTTTGGCAGTTAGTAGTGATCATTAACCGTCATCAGATGAGTGCTTAAGACTTTTTGAGGTAGTCACTATGTATATAACCTAATGGTGTTGCTTCTGCTATTTCTTTTTCTATGTCTGTGCCTGCTCTTGCAGGAGTACTGTGCTTGGGTTAATCTCCCACCTGTATGAGACAAATTGGAGTGTCTTCCTAGAAGTCTTTATGTCTTTCTCTTCTATGCTGCTTCATCAGCTGTGAAATCCAAAGTGCCTTGTCCTACTCAAACTTTACACTGAAAGTATTTAAGGGAAAAAAATAATTTCTTAGCTTTTCTTGTTACGGTTTTTAAGTGTTTTGTAGAACATTCACAGGGAAAGCTGTATCAGAGATTCGTAGCAGGATATAGAATTCGTAGCAGGATATAGACCTGACTACTTTAGGGTCATATGCTAAAAATATTTTTTTCATAGGTTGGTGCAGCATGATAGAGCTCAATTTCAGGGATGCATATGATTCCTTTGAGAGGCTAAAAAACGAGTCCAGGTGGTCCCAGTGCTATTATGCCTACTTGACTGCAGGTGAGTAGACCGTGGTTTCCACAGTGTGCCTTTCTCTGTCGTGAGTTCACTCACATGCAGGTGGCAGATGGGAGAATGATGGCTGGAGGAAGCAGAAGTTGTGTACTTCCACAATTTTTTCCAAATTGTTAGTGTTTTGTGCAACCAAGTAGATAGCACAGTGAGTACTGTGTTCATGAACCCAGCTGGACGTGGAGAAATTCAGTACTATACCCAGTGCTCCTCGCCTCGTGGTCCACCTCTGGGTTTATGCTCCATCTTGGAAATGTTTATTGTGAGGTTCTCCCAGTTTTTGTACGTTTCGCCATAAACAATCCCAACTTGCCCTTATCCCCTTCCTTTATTTGCTATATTTTCTATTTATTATGAATTTAAAGAAATTTTAAGAATTTAACATGTCTTTCATTGTGTTAATATTTTTGTTTGATTGGTGCCCTGGTCAAGGCACATAGGTTTTGAGTAGCGCACTCCAACCGTGCTTTACCTTTTAACCCTGTTGTATTTGCAGTGTGATATTACAGAATGTGAGGTATTTCAACTCTGCATGTCATCACAGCAGAAGCACCCATAGTTTCTGTTTCAAATGAGTGTTTCTTGGTTTCTTTGCCCTTGTATGAAGAGATAGTTGAAGATGTGTCACCACCTGGTGGACAGAAGGGTGTCTGTCCTGGCAATATGTACAGTGCCATGTGGTTTAGGACTGTAGAGGTGTGGAATTAAAGAAACCCAAGTGGATGTACAGTTTTTGCCTTTGAGCAACTTTACAAAAACCCTTTCTGGTTTATGAAATGACAAATTCTTCTTCTGGAGCCACATAGGTGACTCTTTTACTTAAAATTCAAGACTAATCCAAACATTATTTTAAATATTTCCTTATTCTTCTGAATGTTTGGATTTAACAAAACATCTTCCCTTTTTATTCCATCCCCTAACAAATCTATTTAAAATAAGATGGAACTGACCAAAAATGGCCAATATGTCTATTCTGGGTATCTTAAAATTCCTATAAAATTGCATCTATCCATTAGCAATCAATGCATACCCCCTGGTAACCATACCCCTTACTGCAGCCCCCCTAGGGCATCCATTTTCTTATGGCTCTGTGTCTGGCATTTAAATAAGCTTATTTTCAATACACTGGTTAGTATACTGTGTCTTACACTTAAAGGGATATTTTATAGAATTTGCAGGCATCTCAGAGGAAAGTAGCAGCTATTTATTGAGTGGCCTCAATGTGCCCAGCATGTTGAAGAGTGAGTGAACCCAGACTGCGTAGCCCAGAAAAGAGAGGCCTGCACATAGTATACTGTGTCTTACACTTAAAGGGATATTTTATAGAATTTGCAGGCATCTCAGAGGAAGTAGCAGCTATTTATTGAGTGGCCTCAATGTGCCCAGCACGTTGAAGAGTGAGTGAACCCAGACTGCGTAGCCCAGAAAAGAGAGGCCTGCACAACCCCCAACAGTCTTTAGGTATAATTGGGTCACACAGTCGATGGCAGGTGGCTGTTTCTTTTTTAATCTCTGTGGACATTAGAAATAAATGTACACATATATTTGTACACATTATTTTGTACACATATACCTATACAGAGGGCCACTTATTCCCCAAATATTTGGAAATCCCTCGACTATGCTAGTTTTAGATGATAAACATGAAAGCTAATATCCATCTCTGCAAGGGATTTTGTGGAGAGGATAAGGTGGACGTGAAGAGCCTCGCTATGAAGAGCGCACAGAAAGGGAGAGCGCACCCTGTCAAGCCATCAGGGACAGCGTCTTTCTTGCAGGAGCTGCCGTACAGGCTGGCCGTGAAGGACGGGGACACATTAATAGTCAGAGCTGGAGAGGATGGGCATGGAGGGGGACACTGCCCCTGGGGTCTGAGTTCCTTGTAATATTGTATTTTTCATTGTGGTAAAATATATCTAACATAAAATTTAACATTTTAACCATTTATAAGTGTACATACAGTTCAGGCATTAAGTACATTTGCATTGTTGTGAATCACCATCCACCTCCAGAACTTTTCCATTGTCCCCAGCTCAAACTCTATACTCACTGGATGCCTCATTTCCCCTCCCGCCAGCCCCTGGTTACCACTGTTCTCCTTTCTGTGTCCATGAATTTGAATATTCTACATACCTCATATAAGTGGAATATATTTTTCTTTTTGTGACTGACTTATTTCATTTAGCATAATGTCTTCAAGGTCGATGCATGTTGTAGCATGTGTCAGACTCTCTTCCTTTTTATGGCTGAATAATATTCCATTGTTTGTATGTATCAGGTTTTGTTTATTCATTCATCCTTCACCGGACATTTGGATTATTTCCACCTTTTGGCTACTGTGTATAATGCTTACTATGAATATTAGTGTACAAATATCTATTCAAATCCTTGTTTTCAGTTCCTTTGGGTGTATACAAGAAGTGCAATTGCTAGATCATATACTTGTACTATTCTTGAAAGCTTTTCTGCAAATTTGAAGTTATGTTAAAATTACAAGTTACCAAAAAGATCAGAATATGACTTATGGAATAGCGTAAACTTAGTCTTAATGGAAGAGCCAGGCATCCTAAGTTCTGTCTAGGCCTCATATCTTAGGATAAACTGAAGACTCTCATACTTTTAAACATCTACATCTTTTAAAACAGCTGTCTATAATTTTACCACAAGAGACATAGGCGGTGTTTATTCTTCACAGTCTGAGCTATTGATGTTGTAGACCTTTAGGGGTGGTTCAGATACTGATACCATTACTGTTTATTACTCTCTCTCTCTCTTCTCTGTAATTATGTGACTCTATAAGAATATTCTCAATGGTCGGGAGAAATTATTCCTTTTCACTGGTTTGCTGTGCAGCCTTAGGCAACACTTCACTTTCCCTCTGCACCCCTGATCCATAAAATGGTGGGGTTGGTCACCCAAGACAGTCACTGAGCTCCCCTCTGCTTTGGAAGTGTTCTAGCTGCAATGGAGGGGAGGTCATTTTGCACTGGTGCAGACCTCTACATTTGGAGCGGGGATGTTCGTGTACCTGGGAATGGGGTTGTCTTTTCCTTTGAATATTCTGCCCAATCCCTCTTCTTACTCCTGGCAGGAATCTTCTGCCTTTCCCATCACTGCAGCATCTCAGCTTCCTCCAAGACTTGCTGCTTCTGCCACTATGGCCCTGCTGGCAGTTGCCTATCCTCTGACAAGCCGTGCCCTGTGCTCTGCTTGAACAAAACCACAAATGCGGGTATTGGACCACCTAGCACTCAAGTAAGGAAGGGGGACCTAGCAAATAATTTTAGTGCTTTCCAGCTGGAGAGTGAAAACATGTGCTAAGACAGTATCTAACAAATAATGAATATAAAAGGATTCAAGGCCATAGGAGTTGTGAGGAAGATGACCAAGAGGAGTGGCAAAGTTTCATTCAGGAGGTGGGGCTGAAGCTGGGTGCAAAGTCTGGAGGAGAACGAAGATGAAGCCGCAAAAGGACTGTGACTAAGTCATTGCATGGGACGCAGGGTGAGATGAAGGTGCTATACAGAGTATCGAAATCCTACCATCCTTCGGGCTCAGCTCGACTTCTCCTAGCTCCCCAAAGCTTCTGATCACTCCAAAGAGAAATGATCCCTTCTCTTTCTGAGCTTTTCTAAAAGTGCTTGGGTTCTCCTACCTTAACCTCTCCTATCACTGTACACATTGTAGCTATGGGACCGTATGTGTGAGATCTCCCCTGCTGAAATTCACATTTCTCCAGGGTGTAAGCTTGTGCATTTCTTCTTCACCTTCTTGCTGGTGGCTTGTAGGTGGTAAGTGGCCAATGAACATGTGCAGGACTGATTCATGACTTTCTTTCCAGGATGGCAATATCCTCCTTCCACCATGAAGACATCATCTCCTTGGGGCTCCCCACATTCTTCCTAGATTCCTTTTTATTCTACTTTCTGAGAATGTGGACCCCACCTAGGTTGTACGCTGTGACAATAGCTGGAGGTTTTGTAATGTGCAAAACTATCTCCCCAACAAGAGGACAAAGATGATGGTTGTCCCCATGTCCCCCCAATGCTCTGGGAACACAAGCACCTGGGAAGTAGTGGAATCAGTGAAGTGATGATCAGCAGGGTGGTACCGTCCTCTGTGTAAAAGTCTTTAAACATATTTGCTCACATTTTTTCCTGGGTAACATTTTTCAGTATTATCCACCTAGTGGCATTTTCTCTCTAGTACTTAAGAAATACACTTACGGTTTCTTACAGTTTGTCAGGGAGCCACTGGTGACGTGGATGAGGCACAGATTGTCTTTAAAGAAGTTCAGAAACTCTTCAAAAGGAAAAACAATCAGATTGAACAGTTCTCAGTGAAAAAGGTATGTTGGAGCCTGTTGATCTGGTGTTTTATTTATGGTGGGCATTTGTAACCAAGACTACCTTGGACAAGTTTTCGGAACTCATATTCAAAGCTAGCAACTTACTTGCCATATAAAATACAATTCACCACTGTGGAGAGAATTCACTTCATGCTCATACTTCTGCTCTGAATAGAAAGTACTTGTTTGTTGCAAATAATGAAAGTAGATTTTTTTCTAAAGAGTAGAGACATTACAAACCCTGCAGAGGATAATGAGCATAACTGCAGAGGGAAAGTATCTGTCTAAAGATTTAGGTAGTTTTAGAAGAATGCAGATTGGCAGAGCATAATGAGAGATGCAGACTGTCTGCTCAGGATAGTGAACCTGTCACATTTTGAGTAATAAAAAGCAAAAGTGTGCATCAAATTTGGCAGGACTATAGAAAGGCCCAGGACTATAGGGACAGTATGCCAAATTATTCTGCACTTTTGAGAATAAAACTTTGCTGAATGACCTTGAGTTACGTGACATCTTGTTGTATCTTGAATTTTCCGTGATTTTAGTTTCATAAATTTTTATTGAGTGAGCATTTAATGAGTTTGTTTGTGTATATATTAAGCTTAATGTGGAATGCAACCGAGAGCACTGGAACTAAGTAGAAACTTAAGTCAATAGAACCATAACTAAAAGGCGTCTAGTCTTATAACCTCCATATAAATCCATTGAGTTATTGTCACCAGGCTTTATAAATTCCATTGATTTAAACTCACATGAACCTATTTGTGTCCCCAAGTGTTGAGAATATACTCTGGATGTTGATAGTAGGTTGAATTGAATGATGAAAGAAAGGCATAGCTAGCAATATTTTAAAAACTGGAAAGGAAAAATGTTTTAAATATAGACAGATTTTCATTTTTAGCTTTGAAGGAGAGGGCTGTTCACGTTGACTATGCACTGTGCACTTCTAATTGTCTCCGAGGTTTATTTTTATATTTGAATTTGGTTTTGAAAAATGGAACCTAATCGTCCTAACTCCTTGCAGGCAGAGAGATTTCGGAAACAAACCCCAACCAAAGCGCTCTGTGTGCTCGCGTCCATTGAAGTGTTATACTTATGGAAAGCCCTCCCCAACTGTTCCTTCCCCAACCTGCAGAGGATGAGTCAAGGTAAGGAAAAAAACAAAATCAAAAATGTACACGTTGGCTTGTTTTGTCAGTGCTGCTGTCTTCAGTTTCTCGTTAGTATTATCTGATTCAGAGAGTGCAGTCTGTCCTTCTTGGATAAAGGGTGAGTGATGTGGAAAATCCTGTTGCTTAGGGAGTAGGAGGCACTGGTACACATGGACATGCTTGCTTGTTAGGGGTACACGGTGATGCTCTTGGGGTAATTATTAATTAGTAGTTAATATTATTAACTAATATCATTAGTTGTGTAGCCATGGGGGTTGCTGGAAGCATACATTTTTTTCCCAGCGAAAGCACTTTGTTTCATTTAGGTGAGAGTCACATGCAAAAAACAACAGATAATGAAAAGTACAGTTCAATGAGTTTTGACAAGTATATGCACCCTGGCATCCGCCGGCAACATCAGTATAGAGATCACTCCTCATATTTCCCTTGTGCCCCTTCCCAGTCAGTCTCCACCCCAAGGCAAGCATTGTTCTGATTTCTATGTCCATAGATTACTTTTGCCTTTCCTTGGATAACACATAAGTGGAATCGTGCAGTATGTGCTTTTTTGTGCATGGCTTCGTTTGTTCAGCACAGTGTCTGTGAGATTTATCCACATTGTATCTTGTATCAGTAGTTTGCTTCTCTTGCTTGCTGAGTCAAGTTCTATCGTATGGCTCTACCTATACCACAATTCAGTTATTCATCCTCCTGTTGATGGACATTGGGTTTGTTGTAGCTGTCATGACTAAAGCTGCTACAAACCTAAGTGTACAACGTAAGTTTACAAGTCTTTTGTATAGACATACAAGCTCACTTCTCTTGGGTAAATACCCAGGAGTATAATTAGAAGCCAACATTTTTAATTCATGTATTAGAAAAACTGTAGAGCCATAGGCTATGATAATATAACCTTGATAAAGTCATTTTTATTATAGTTGTAGGAAAAGTTCACAGGGAGAATAAATCTTCATATAAAATAGGGCTTTGTTGGTTATTAAAGAAATAACCTAGGGCCAGCCTGGTGGCGCACTGGATGGTGCGCCGCTTGGGAAGCGCGGCGGCGCTCCCGCCCGAGGGTTCGGATCCCACATATAGACCAGTTCCCGCTCACTGGCTGAGCGAGGCGTGGGAGCGGCGCCGAGGGTTGCGATCCCGTTGCCGGTCCCCGGTCCGGTGCGGGGGCAACACTGAGGGTTGCGATCCGTTGCCGGACACGGAAAAAGACAAAAAGACAAAAAAAAAAAAAAGAAATAACCTAATGTTTCTTCTAAAGGTTTAATGGTAGACGTTGGAATAACACTTTGTAGTCTAGCACGTGATTTGCTCCACAATGCAACCTGGAGAAGGAGGAAAGGCAAACAGTATTGTCATACCCATTTTATCACAAGGAAACAAACACAAAACAGTTAAGTGAGTTTCCTGGCTCCTGTAGGAGCCAATGTTCATGCTGCTGGTCTGAGGACATGTTGGGAAGTAGAGCTTTAAGCTGTTCCACACACAGCTTCATCTCCCTGAGAATGTGAAGATATTTAAACTATGCAACTAGAAGTACAATATAAGATGAAATTGCTGTGTTGAAATAAAGACACGTACATCCAAAAAGATGTTTCCATAGAAAGTAATTGTTTTTGGAAACATATTACTATTCACTTCTATGCAAGTTCTCTCCAAAAGAGATTTAGTATTAACATTTTGGACTTATTCCAGAAATAATTTGTAAGCTACTGTAGAAAATTTGTCAGATTTTTCTATGGTCACACTTGTTTTTGACCAGATGTGGCATTATCCTCAATTGAGTCACATATTTTTATCATCAGACTTTCCTGCAGATGCCAGATACTTTTTGCCTATTTCTTTTAAAAAAAAAAAATCTCGGGCTGGCCCAGTGGCGCACTCGGTTGAGTGCAGCGCTTGGGAGCGCAGCGGCGCTCCCGCCTAGGGTTCGGATCCCATATAGAGACCGGTCCACTCACTGGCTGAGCACGGTGCGGGCACAACACCGAGGGTTGCAATCCTGTTACCAGTCATGAAAAAAGACAAAAAGGAAAAAAAAATCTGCTCTTAAAGTTTAAAACTTTGCCAAAGTTGATTCCAGAGAAAGGAATGAAACTCCATGAGAAGTTTTGCTCAGTGACTCTGTAATTGGAGTAGGTGTGTAACCCTCCCAGGGGACAACTTGAAAGAAAACAAGATTTTCTTGGATGCATTAAATTCTGCTGTGTTTATTTAAAAAGTACATGCATAATTTAAAACCTATCCCTTGTTGTTGAAGCAAGTATAGAATATCTACCAATGTCTGACTCAAAGGAACAATGAAGGATCTTAAGTATTTTTTTAATGTACAAGTGCAGGATCATTATGTATTTTAGAAATAATTAAAACATAAATGCAAATATGAGATAGGTAATAATTGGCAAGCACAAGAACAGCTTTCACAATTAGATATTCTCTGAACCCCTTCCAGGTATCGAAATAAACAAACAAAAAAAATATGTGTTCATGGAGAGGGAAGCAGTTTCTGGCGTGAACATGAGATCATTTTTTAATATCTTTGTTACAAGTTAACCCCATTCTGAGATTTATTAATTAGATTATATCATTCCCAGTGTGAAGGTAGAATGATCCAAATTGGTCCAACTATATAGAGTATGGTGCAGATCTTTGTACAGAAATAGTTACATTCCAGAAAAAACTGGTGGTGGGCAATATGGATCGTAAGCATTTATTAAACTTTACATCATGCCCTCATAGTTTTGTGTGTTCAGCTTGTCTCCCTTTATCAGCTGAGCTGGTTAAATTGCCACATCATTGTCTCGTGGTTTCATTCATAGCCCAACTCCCTCACTCGCCTTCTCCAATGCATTCTTCCTCTGCGTATATAACATGCTTCTTTGTACTCTCAGCACAGCAGGCAGAGTGATCCTATTAAATAGATCGTGTGTGTCATTCATCTTCTCAGAACCCCAAGAGTCTCTCATCTCATTCAGAGTAAAAGTCCCGTCCATTCAGTAGCTGGCAGTGCCTGCCGTCTGTGACCTCTGGCACTGTGTCCTCACCACCCTGGCTCCCCAGGTTCCAGCCACTCTCCTTCCTGCTGTTGAGCGTACCTGGCGTACACTGGCCTCAGTGCCTTTGCACCTGCTCTCCTCTCTGACTGCAAGCGTTCTTTCCCTAAACATCCACGTGCCTCCTTCTCTCATTTCCTTCAGGTCTCTACCCAGTGTTTCCTCTTTAGTGAGGCTGAGCTGCACACACATTTGCTGGCTCAATTTTTTCCCTTAGCCCTTGTACTTACTTAACAAATACCTTTTACTTATTTGTCTTTCGTATTGTCCATCTCCCTCACAAAAGGTAAGCTTCTTGAGGGCAGGAATTTTTTTTTTTTTTTTTGGCATACACTTTATTTTTAGGATCACTGTGTTTTTATTTTTTAAGTAATTCACAAACTTGCAGAAACATTCAAACCGTTCAAAGGGGTGTTAGAGAAAAATATAAAGGTCCTTTCCGCCCCGGGCACTCAGTCTCCTCCCAAAAGACAACCACATGTCACGGTTTTTAGAGTGACCTTCAGGAGATGTTCTACGAATTTATATAGATAAGTGTGTATCTGGGTACGTGTGAGTGTGTGTGTGTGTGTGTGTACACACATGTAATTACGCACATAAGAACATTCTCTACCTACTTTTCTGCCCTGTGCTTTTTTCATTTAACAAGGTTTTTTGAGATCATCTAATATCAGCACATAGATCTA